AAAGGAAGTTCATACATTAGAAAGATGGCTATTAGCAAGGCTTGTGTCAGAGGCTTGAAGTGGCATTGCCCCCACCACAGATTGCTGCTGCCTCTTTGGAGAAAAGGGCTGCTGAGCCCTGCACCCTGCACAGACAGCACCCCCAGGCTGCCAGGAGCATCACCTGTGTGCTCCCTGTTATAGGGTGGTATAATGAAGGTGTGCAGTGCCACTGGGGCCTGGGTGCTGGTTCTCTGTTCCTCCATCCCTCTTTCATCTTCAGCACTTTCTAGAATCCTTCCTCTTTCAGTTCTCCTACCCAGACAGCTTTTGAAAGGTCAGGGGGCAAGACCAAAGTGAACACTTCTGCAAATATCTATATTTAAGATATTTCTATTTGCTGACAGACAAGTTTCTGACAAGATTTCATGAACATGAATGTTCAATAAGGATGGAATAGTTTCAAAAAAACAAAATTCTTGATTTTATCGGTAGCTTACTGTTACCCTCCCTACTTACTCAAGTTTTGGTTAACAGCACAGACTTTAGAAAATGAGTTTAAAGTGAGGTGTGTTTTATGCACAGTGCTTTTCTGACTCTCACTCCTGTATGCACAAACACACACACACACACAGACACACACACACACACAAAAGCAAAATTATTCTTCACAAAACTGTTATTCTCAACTGCTGTCTTATCGTTTTCTATTAGCGTTCAAAAATACTTATTGTTGCAGATAAAAGTCTTCTATTTCAATATCAAGAAATAACTTGATCTCTTGAGGTTTTTTTAATGATCCTGCTTGCTTCCTTATCATGTGAGAAAATACATGAAAATTGATGAGATGTGACTTAGCCACAGGCCTCAGCTTCTGCATTCTGGCTGTACAATAGAAACAGAAGAAAGCTGCCATGCAGAAGTATGTGGGGAGTCATGGCTGTTCTTTAGCTTCCTCTTCAGTCAATGTAAATTGACATTTTTTTTTCTCCTTATTAATTTATCTCCTGCTGTTGCCTGAAAGTATCGTCAGTTGCACAGGCCTATGAGTCAGCCACCTCTCTGCATGAAGCTGAACAATAAATTCCATTTCTTCCTCCTTACCCTTTAAATATAGCTTAGTTCCTCTGTTCTGCTGGGGTGAGGTCTGTTATTTATTCTCTTCCTGTGTGATTGGGTTACCAACTCCCTTTGGTGTAACAAGGAAAATTAATCTGCATTCATAAAAAAAGTGAATCCACGCATCTTTTTCTAAACCAGTGCCCAAATAATGACAATATCACAGAAAAAAAAAAAAATAGGAGAAGTTCTTTGAGTAAAGTGTCTCTTCAGACATCAGTGTCTCAGACCTGGTAACTTTTACCTTCAGACCTCACATTTCTTTTTTGAGAAATGTCCAAAGAGCAGGGATACCATACATCTGATTTTGTGAGAGTTGTTAATAATGCATTAATTCCTCCAAAACTGAGAGTGATAAGCTTATAAATGTTTGCAGGTTTTGAGATTTAAACACATCTATCTTTTTATTGTAAATGACCATCAGCAGAGTATGATTCCTGAGTGCAAAGGCCCATCATGCCACATATGTTCTCAGGAGCTCCTTGCAAGAATACCTAAAAACTAAGATTGGCCAAACCACTGGGTAGATCCAGAGAATGTTACTGAAGCGTAGGCTTTTTACATTTACCTATAGAATTAAACATTTGTGGAAATGCAGAGGCATTGATATAAGAGGTTCAGCCTTAAATTTATTTTTGGTTCTTTAGAAAACATAAGGAAGGTGAAGGGAGGTTGTCTTGAATTTCTCATGATTAGTATTAGACTAAGAGCAAGCATCAGATGTTCCTTGGGCAGAACCTCTAACCATATAGCAAAATTTCCATGTAACACTATTAAACCCCTGATCTTTCTCCTGATGAAGTTGGATTGCTAGCCCAAACTTCACACTGTTGTTGACCGATTTAAAAATGCCCTGTAATACACAGGTCTGACCTTTTTTTCACTCTAAAGGTGTGCACACCCACTGTCCTTTCCTGTGTAGCAGAAGTGTCAATCACACGTAGGTTGTACATATGTTTTTCAGAGACACTCCTACGTGAAAGAGTTTGTGTGTGTGTGTATATATATACACACATATATATATATCTGTATGCATGTGTGCTTTGGCATCTGGGGGTTGTGTTGGCAGTTGCCTCCAAACAAAATATGTGGGGTATGTTGGATTTGGTTCTGCAGGTTGAGGGAGGTGGGTATGACTCTGGATATGAGGCTGGGTGCTGGCAACAGGGACCAAGCACTTTTCTGGCAGAGGTGACCTGAGCATCCTTAGCTTCAGCCAGACTTCACCAAAAGCCTGTCACAACAGGTTCCCCAACAAGGTGTTGGTGATAAGTGTTGACAAAAAGGTGGCTAAGAATTGGTACCATCACCCAAACTTGTCCCTGTCTAAACAGAAAACTGGGAGAGGCAGTTTATTCTGTCTCATGGTTAGCTAGATAGGATCAGGGTGTGTTTTAGTTGTAGTTTGTCTAACCATTAAATCAAACTTCTATTATTTATGATTAATTGTGTTCAGAAAAGCAATCTGAAGCATCCTTTAACCCTTGAAGGGTTAGATTTATAGAAGTACATGAAGGCTTAAAGTGCAGTTAACTATCTAATAGTTTTCAAAATAGCTAACCTGGTTCAGTGCCATTATGCCCAATGATAACTAGATGTCTCACTGCACTGAAATTGCCAATAATTAAGAATTAAATATTTGAATATTTTTACAGGTACAGACCCTTAGTCCTATGAGGCCCAATCAGTTAAAATGCTTTTAACAGCATCAGTGAGTGCTGTTCGCATTTTTAGGCAATGATTTGACTTGGAAATCTGATAAGCCCTCTTACTTCACATGAACTTTAAATAAAGTGAATTTAGGAGCAAAATTCAGTTCTAGATACATGTATGAGTTTGAAATGAAACCCACAGTCCATTGGTCTCATTAACCTGAAAACATTTATTTTTAAAATGGTTATTAAAAGTCAGACTGATACTAAATTATTGCCATGCTCCTTCTCACCCTTTTTTCTTAGCTATGAAGCAAAAGATGTTTTTCTGTAAACAGTGTTGAATTTTTTTTCTAAAACTCTTTAAAGTAATTTTGCTATTAAATGCATATTCTGGGTTTTTATGCTACACCAGTTGTTAAATTACATGCGAGTTTTTTAGAAGCCTTTATTCTTCCAAATTCATTTGTGACATGGCACAAAGACCTTGGTCTTTTTTTTTAAGTCTTTAAACACCAGTGTTAATAACTACTTGATAATTAATTAGAAAATATGTATTCTAATTATTTTGTCAGTAGTTTGAAAAAAAAAAGAAACCAAATCAGATCAGTTCTGTATTTGAGAACATATTACATTTTATTCAAGTGGCAACCCACATACATACTGGGATTTCCTGAGGCATTTCTTTCTTGATGCATTGAAAGCTGAATTACATTTATCAGGAATAAAATTGTAAATAAAACTATTATTCTTAGATACATAATAAAAAGCTGGAGACAACTGAGCTTTCTCTCTACCTCTAAACAAATGTTGCTTTACATAAAATATAGCTCTCTCTCTCAAATTCCTTCCACTACAAAGAACTTAGTTTCATTTCTAATTCAAATAAAACCAAAGCATAAGTGTCCCTCTGAATTATGTATCCAAATGTGTCTCCTTATAGTTCCTCCTCGTCTGACTCAGCCCATCATTCCTTCTGTCCCCCAGAACATTTTCTGCACGGCTGCCAAGAAGGAGCAGGACCTGGGAAGACACCTGATGTAGACGCCAACACTGAGTTCAGGGTGACAGAGCAAGGCTGCTCGGGGCTTTTATTTTTAGCAGAAGTTTTGTATAGCACAGGAGGAGGTTGGCAGGAGCTAGACTGCAAATCCTGGTGTCATTCTCCTCTCCGTCAGAATTATATATATACACACAGGCATCCTTTGTCAGATGGTGGGAATCAATAGCTGTTGACTCATGGCGATTGTTGCATCTCTCCCATGATCTCCATTTCCCAAATATCAAGTGAAACTACAATATCAATTAAAACAAACAATATTTCAAATTTGTTGCTCTTTACCTCTTTCATTGGGGAATGCAGTGTTTTCTGCAGGTTTATCTATGTCGTTTCTTCCACTTTTCCACTCTATTTTAAATGTGTTCAGCTCTAGTTTTTGACCACAGCAAAGATTTTACCTACAAATGTATATAACCCAAATACATGTGAACAGCATGTGCGTATTTTACTCTTATATACTCATATTTTATTAATATTTAATTGGGAAGTTATTCTTTGTATGATATTTTTGAACAGAGAGAACAAAGAGATTAATGGGAAAAAAATCCTCACAAATTATGTCTCTGTTTGCTTCATATTCTGAGTGCAAATAAGAAAAAAAGAAATGTTTAAGTGATGTGAAATGAGACCCAGAAGAAGAACAAAAGTGAAGGAGAGGGTATATGACAGCAGATCTGTCAAGGCTGAGCTGCACAGAGCTGAAGGACCAAGGGGATGCTAACCCTTGCAAAACGGGTAATTGTGTATTAAGGAGGAGGTGGGCAGTACCTGCAATAGCAGCCCCCTTCCAAGGGAAAAATTAATCTAGAAACACATGGAGAAAGAGACATTTCAAACACGTGTCAGATTGGCCTCCACTCCTGAGCCTACAGGCTGAGATAATTTGGCTTAAAAAAGAGATGGATGTAAGGCCAAACATGAAAAGCTGCTTGTTGCATTTCACCCTTTGCCCTATAATCTATTTTAGGCAAATAGATGGCCCTTTGTTTTGAATGAGGTGTTGCTGAGATCTGGCAGGTGCTCAGGAAGAGCAGTGCCTGCTGGCTGATGCTGCTGAGCAGCGCTGCAGGGCTGCACTGGGGCATGCCTGGGACAGCTGCTAAACGCACCTTCTAGCAGATCTACTGGTGGTGTTGGGTAACAGTCAGTAACCAGAAGTTATTTCAGCATTTCCTATTGTAGGAGTGATCTTCAAGCCCTCTCTGACCCTACAGATATGAGCAAATACCTGTGTGTTTGTCTATGTAAGTGCATGTCCCTCCCTGACAGCAAATATCAGCCAGACACTGGAGAGGCTCAGGTATCAGATACCATCTCAGAAACCAACTCATTGGTGGAAACAACCTGCTGAGTAAAAGGCAAAAAAAAAGGGAGTCATGCTGCAAGCTGGAGAACCAGTGCCAGACAGATCTTCTGTACATGCCTCAGCCTTGGGAAACCTTAGTTTGGAGCTCGGTCAAGGATGAGACACAGGACCGTAGGAAACTTGCCTTTATTATTTCCAAGGCTCAGGGAGCTACTTGTTTCCTATTTAATCCAAATAGCTTTGCAGCTTTGGAGAGAAATGTGGCAAGAACAATAACAAAAACGTCTGTAGTTGTTCCAATAATTCTTTGTACTTGTTTCCTGCATTTGTTTCAAATTTAATACTTAAATGGCAACAGTCATGCTTGAAAAGATGAGGAAACCCAAGGTTTCCTTCTTTTACACTTCACAATTCCCTCATGGGGATATGGACATTTTGGACCTGTTAGTCTGTATTGTTAGGATACACAAATGCCCTTGATCATCACAGCTCTGTACACAGGGACTCTTTCTATCCGTCCCTATATGTCTGATGGGGGGTTTGATGGCCATGGAGGTGGCATTAGCTGTTGAAGCTGTTGTCATGCTGACCCACTTTAAAAGCCTCATTATGGAACTGTGATATTGCTGTTCCTTTCTGCCCTTCTTTGGTCACTGACACCATCCCATGACATACAGGCACTGGATCAGGTGCTGGTGGTCCCTGGGGTTCACTTCCATGTATCATGTTCAAAGAAGAGCAAAGACTGAGCACTTAATATTTAGTTTTAGGGAGGATTATGAGCAAATTATAGAATCATGGACTGAGTCTGGAAAAGATCATCCCTGGGAACACCAGTAGTAACTAGCTGCCAATACACAACTGGATTTGAGTCCATTCACCATGAATGGACTCCAGCCACCTAGCAAGCTTTTAAAATAACTCTTCCTGAACTACTTTGTAAGCTTGGTTTTGCCAGCATCCCTGTTTCTCCTTGTGCTGCAATGACCTAGATGTGCCTCCTGCTAATGCCTGTCACTGCTGAGTCCAGAGTGTGTAACTCTCAGAACACAATTCCCCTCAAACACCAGTCTGGTCGATCCCGTATCAAGTCATAAAAGCAGGCGATACAAAATGATTACAGAAAGAGCCGAGATGCTTACAAGTAATACATCTACCTTTTAAATGAATTCATCTACTTATTTTACAATACATGATGAGTGTTTAGGTGAAATTCTGCTCTCATCTTCAAATGCCCTCAGTTTCTCATTAGTTAAAAGCCCACTCATTAGGACGAGCACATCCTGGGGACAAACACATCAGCTGTTGTAAATTATTTCAGAAAAGTTTTCTGCTATTCATTGATTTTATGGAGGTAAGTGCCATGTTATTTACTCAGTTAACAATCATAAAGACAAAGTTTTCCCTTCTGCTTGTAGTCTACCAGTTAGGAAGGATTTTTGTGTTGTTTTCTGTACCGTGTCAATTCTGGACTATATTTTATTTCTTGGTTTGTATTTTTTTCTGTCAAATATTTATTTGGTGCTTAACACTCCAACATGTAACAGCAATTTTAGTTTAGAAAATTGATACTGACATGCTGTTTGTGAATAAAATTGACATTTCAAAAAGAAGAGTAATGTTTTGACTTAAAGGTTATTTCAGAATTTGATTTATCAATTTAGTACTTAAATGCACTGGGCTGTGCAAGCAATGGTGCTCACCCAGAGGGCAGCTAATTGCATGCTATTTGGGTATTTAATCCCATATAAATAATAAAAAAATACTTCTTTCATTAAGAGCAGAATATTCAGGGGAGTTTTTTTCAAATGGCAGTTGCACCTACAAACAGTGCATTTTAAAACAATCTCAAGAGGAGCCCGAAAGAAGATGCAGTTTGTTGTTTGAAAATTAGTTCCATTCATTAATGATTGGTGTCAATGTATTGTGCCGGGTTTTTGTAGAGCTAGAGGTATTTTAAATTCATTTATTTGAAACAATGTAGACAACAAACTAAGCTGTGTATTAGCATGCAAATAAAGTGTAACATTAATTTCACCTCAAATGCTTTACATGTATTTTCCAATTTGTTTTGAGTTTCTGTTGTCAAAGTGTGATATTCCCTTTTGTATTATCCAAAGAATAGTAGTTATTTACTTCAAGCACAGAATTACAGTGGAAATACGCAAATGTTTTAAGAGTTTGCCAACATATTAGGATTTTTTAGTTGACTAAAGGATATATTTTTCCTCTCACAAGATTATAAATGCTTAATACCTCCATGAATTCAGCTGGAATATTTCCAGATTTATACCCCTCAATTAATTTCAATTGAATTTTCTTGAATTACACTATCTGAAAGCATAATTTATCTTTGTGTGAGCTAAAGTTAATTTAGCTTAGAGCATTTTCTCAAGAATAAGCCATGGCCTGATTGTAGGCATTCTCTCTGTTATCAATTTGACTTAATTTTCTCTCTTATAAGTGCCTCTAATAACAATAAACCTTTCAGAAAAAGAATGTGTGAATTAGCAGATGGTGCCAAAGAAGCTAAACTATTTTAAATGCTTTGCAACAATGTAAACTCATGTATTATTTATTGTACAGTATTACCAATTCATACATTCTTATAAGCTATTAAAATTCCATGCCTGAAGGTAGGATGTATTCTATTAGCATCAATTAATGTTCATGGTCTTCAGTTAAGAATATTTAGTGATAGAATTAGAAAGAAAATCTATAAAAAAGTGAAAACTTTACAGAATGCTGGTGGTTGGCACTTTAATTTTTACCCATTGAAGGTCAGAGCCAGAAGAGGGTACTGAACAATGCTGAAGATATTAGTCTTAATTATTCAGGGAATTAAGGCTTTGAGAGCTCTAATAATCAATATGGCTCCTCTGAAAGGTATAACCTACCAATTTATCTTTCTCCTTTAGTCTTTGCATATAGAGAAGAAATATATATTAAATTGCATATAAAAGTCTGAACTTTTGACATAAATTTTGCATCTTTAAATATTGGAATATTTTTTCCTAGAATACCTTTGTCTTCAGTTTATAATGCAATAGAGCAGATGGATTGGAATTGAAAATAACAATGCATCAGGCATTTGCATAAAAAAATTACATTAGTGATTAATTGTTAGATGCAAGCTAAATTCATGTATTTGATATATAAAATGGTATAATACTCCAGATGTTTCTTCCACACACAAAATACTTCTTTTACTCAATCCTTCAGTAATTGAAAAATTGTTTTTGGCACATATATATTCAATCTCTCTTTACTGCACAGACAGACTTAAACCATATTACTTTATCTTCCCCTGGTATTCAAAGTGTCATCAACAATCTCCAGTGATTTAAAATGACAGTACAATCTTTTAACTAGCGTAATACTGGGACTCATGATCTGTATCTTTATTTTCCCTCTGTCATTGTGCTGAGTAACCCTCAATCTTGCTGGTGCTAGTGAAATGACATGGCATAAGAAACAATGTGTGTGAACATGTAGCTGTCTGGCCTCTAATAACTAGAGACAAAGGTACTACAGGTAGAGGAGGAGAGACCAGGACATAGGAAGGTTTTTTTTATAACTACAATGGTTATTTTTAATAGAATAATTTCAGACTCCATGGGAACAATGTCTTGTCAATACCAGTTTTTTTTTTCCCCTTTACTTCCATGCTTCCTTGCTTTTTTCTCAGTTTAAGGCATGACACAAGCTGCACATAACAGAAAAAATAAAAGTAAACAGGAGGTGCCTAAGCAAAACTCTGCCCCAGAAATTATTTACTGTAAATCTTTGATACGCACCAAAGAATGTCCTCTGGTGTTTTCCATTTGCTTTTACATGAATAATCCACAGTTCACAAAAACATCAGCAATGATGGCATATGCCTGGATTCCCATCTCCTTGGTGTTTGAATTTATTTTTGTATATTTTGCATGAAAATAAAGAGATGGTACTCCATGCTTTGCAACCTGGTATTTATGCTCACCTAATGGAAGTGAACTGTAATATGTCAATCATACACTGATTTCTGAACTTTGATCTTAAAGAGAGATTACAAACATAGAATCAGAATTATAGAATGGTTTGGGTTGGAAAAGACCTTAAATATTATCCAGTTCCAACCTCTCTGTCATGGGCAGGGATGCCACCCATCAAATCAGGTTGCTCAAAGCCACATCCAGCCTGGCCTTGAACATTTCCAGGGATGGGACATCCACAGCTTCTCTGGCTAACCTGTGCCAGAGCTTCACCACCCTCATAGCGAAGAATTTGTTCCCTGCATCTAATCTAAACTTACCCTCTTTCCGTTTGAAGCCATTCCCCCTTGTCCTTTCACTACATGCCCTTGCAAAAAGTCCTTCTCCATCTCTCTTGTAGACCCCATTAAGTACCAGAAGGCTGCTCTCAGGTTTCCCCAGAGCCTTCTGTTCTCCAGGCTGAGCAACCCCAACTCTCTCAGCTTGTCTTTATGGGAGAAGCACTCTGAGCATCTGAGCATCTTCATAACCCCCTTCTGGATACACTGGAACAAATCCATGTCCTTCTTATACTGGAGGTCCTGGAGCTGGATGCAGCATTCCAGGTGGGTTCTCACGGGGGCAGAGTGGAGAAGCAGAGTGCTGGCCATTATTCTCCTCATGCAGCCCTGGGTGTGGCTGGCTTTCTGGCGGGCAAACACAGGATACTCGGTCATGTTGACCTTCTCATCAACCAACACCCCAAGTCCTTCTCCTCAGGATGTTGTTGTCCTTCTGTCCATTTTTAACTTGGAATCTAATATGAGAAATATAACTGGAGAATGACAAAGATATGTGAGTTGAGAGGCTGAAAACTGGTAATTGTGAGGTTGCAGTGGATACTTAATCTGTCTCTAATGCAGTTTTACATTTTGGACCACAGACTGTTTCAAGATAGAATACTCTGTTAAGACGGTATTCTCTGTCCAGTTTTCCAGCTTACTCATGAAAGCCATTATTCAATAAAAACAGGGAAAACAAGAATTTTTGCGTAGTTTTCAAACAGAGGAATAACAACAGGGTCAGACCAAGACAGAGGCAGACTGGACAGATTTGTTAATTCCTGTATTTCCTAAGAAGACAGAGAAATATACAGTCGTGTAGATAAACACATTGTAAATATATATGATGTGCATATAAATGATACCTCATAGGGAATCATGTATTAATGCACAAGATTTTTGTAATTATTTGCAAGCAATTTTGAAATGTCATTGTGTGGCAAAAAATCCCCCCCTTAAATACTGTAGAAATGTCTGTATTTCTTAGCAGAAACTTCTACACCAAATGAGGTCAGCTTACATTCAAAAAAAGGCCACTTCTAGCTGCCAATTTTATACATTCCTCTGAGGAATTCAAACAATTCAGTTTCATTTTCTCCCTTTTTGTCAGCAGATTTTATTTAATTTCCTAGAAAAACAATTTCCTACAAATATGAGAAACACTAGTTAAAATGAATATGTTTTCAACGAAACACAGTGTGAAGTACGCTCAGCAGTTGCGAGACAGGAGTCAATAGCACATAGGAGAGTAATGTTGTAAATCTGGTTTAGATCACAAAACATGACTCTTTTGTTGGAAAAGTCACTTTTCCTCTGTGAGTTAACTGTACTCTTTCCTATTCTGGATTTTAAATTATGTTAATCAGATACTGCTTATGAGGGATTCATAAGTGGCTGTTACCATAGGAACTGCAGATTTTTTTTTTTTTTTTACGTTTGTATCTGAATTTTGGAGTAATTATTGAGTTCAATGACAGATGTGCAGTATAATGCATACTTCACAGATTAAACCAATCATGTTACAGCTAATTGCATGGACTATACTTCAAGTCAGCACATAAATGAGTATAAAATGAGAGGATGACTTTGCTGGCTGTTATGAAGTTGTGTTGTCTGGTTATATGACCAACATAAAAATCATAATAAGCAGCAGATGTAATGTCATGTGTTGCAGTACAAAAAATGCTGGGATAATCAATAAAAACCATTAGAGAAGAACTGTCCATCTAGAGAACACCACTGATGTGTATTGGAACATACAGTGTGCAAATAGGTTTCTTTAGCATGAGAGTCTATATTTTTATGAATTGTAAGTGGTGTATTTTGTAATCAAAGTGTGCAATTAAGATGTCTAGTTCAGTTGTTTTCAACTATTTGGAAATCAAAATACAGTGGAATTATAGCTAATAAATACAGTTGAGTACAGGTTGGACTAAGCAGTTGCTTGGGAAAAGTAAAGGTTTGCAACATTTATAAAAATTTTGAGATGAATATGCAGAAATGAACTGATCTTTCAAGAAATTCAAGAAATGGCAAAATTCAAACTTACTAAAGGATATATTGAAGTCCAGCCATAACCTGCTTCATCCTAGACTGCATAACAGAAACTGAGGCAAATAGAAAACGACATTATTCTTTTGCAGTGAAAACATGATTCAGAATTTCCTGAATACAATAAAAAAAAAACCTCAGCAACTTTGCAAGATTTGTGATCAGACCCTATTTCATTCACTTATGAACTCATTTTTGTTTTTAGAATATAGAGCAGAAACTCTGAGTGCATATTCTGCTCGGAAAACACTGTAGTGCCACAGAAAGCTATCTGCGTGTTTGAGAAGCTAAACTGACCGTGATAATGTGCCATTGAATAAAAAAAAAAAATTGAGCCAAAGTTGATAATGAGCTTCAGGGTGGAACTGTTAGTGTCACTGCTCATTAAAAACAGGGATTAAAGCAGTCCAATTAGTGGCCATGCATGAGAGTAAAAAGGATGAAGTCCAAAAACACAGCAATGGAAATTGTAATAAAAGATGTTTTGTTCTTGTTTCCTTCATGCATTTGTGAAACAACAGATAATTTATTTTCTTGTCGTTCAGAACTATAGGTTTATCTGCTTCTTTGAAAACTTGTTTCCCTTGCCTTCAGAAGAATTTTTAAAGAGAAAATATCTGTAATTAAATTCCCATCTGCAAATAAGATCAGAATTAATTGCAGATTAATGCAACTATATTGGAACTTTTTCAAATTATGATTTTTATTCTTCTAATTATCTCTCCTTTAAGGAACTGTGTATATGGTAATGTCTCCTGTGTGGAATAAAAAGTAGCATGAAAAGTGAGACGCTTTGCAATGAAATGCAGTGCTTTAATTGCAGTGAGATGCTTTAGGCATCTAAAAGGTAGGCATGTTATCTATGCACTCCCCATCTTATTTAGATTAATGGAGATCGCTGAGTAGCTAATTCCATGTAGCTTTAAATAAGGCATTTACAGCAACTTTCTGAGGTATCAAGTATTCACTAGTGGATCCTGAATGGCTAACCTTGATCAGATCCAAAAACTTCTAAAAAGCTTGAGCAGGATTAGACAGATTTCCACTTTTTTTTTTTTCTTTTTTTCTTTTTTTCTTTTTTTCTTTTTTTTTTTTTTTTGTGGCATTCATCTTGCAGGTGCAGAAATTTACATGTCTAGAGTTGAGTAACATGTCCAGCCTTCTCCACAACTTCAAAGATTTGGTCAATCCAAATCTTGACAATTATTTGACATTTCCTGAGATAAATGTTTTAATTTTGTCACTTGTGATGTTCTGTCCTGAGTGACCAGCTCTGGGGGTGAGCCAGGTGACCCCCAGAGATCCCTTCCAGCTTCAAGTACTCTGTTATTTAAAGTCTTGACAGGGGCTTTAAAATCTTGTCAGGCAACAAGAATTGCCCAAGAACTAAAAATGCATACTAAAAATACCCTGCAATATTATCTCATGACCTAACTCTGTTATGGTTTGTTATCTGCAATATGTCTAGGGCTCTCAGCTCTAGACGAGAATTATACTGTGTTAGTCATTAATATCTAAAAAACAGATCTAGTTATATGTAAATAATAACACAAGGCTGAACAATCCAGCATTTGGATTGTGGGAACAGGAAGCTGGGATCTTTTCCCAGATCTTCTCTTACACAGAAATTCACTAAAGGTCTTTTCCTTTTTCCTGATGCTCTTCCCATTTTATCTGAGCTATCACTTTTAAAGAAAATTGGTGTTTATCTTATGGATTTATTCACAGGTACTGCAAAGCAATCCAGTCCAAATAATGAAAAATCACTTACCAATGTAGTAAGATCATTTGCTACATCAAAGAAGAATTGCAGAGTACTGTGGTGTGTTCCTCAGTTTGTATAAAACAGGAAGGGAAAGGCAGTTTTTGTGGCTTTTTTGTTTGTTTGTTTGTTTGTTTTTCTCAGGCTATGGCATTACTTAGATGATTATGCAAGACTGCAGGAAAATGGAGAAAAATATACCAGTTGCAAGCATAAAACTTCCTTCCAACAGATCAGTGCAGTGAAAATAACCTTCTGTCCTTTTGAAGCAGGCAGGCTTTTAAATAGTGTTGTCTTGGTGGCAATGGCCCATTTCACTCAAGGATGTTGTCCTTCATAGAATCTAGGGGATTATGAACAATATTTTAAAACTTGGGTGCTAAATCTATATTTAGGTCTACAGAACAAGCATTCAGCGAGTGGGTGAGGAAACAACAGAGCATAACTCTTTAGCTTGGTAGTGAGGGCTTGCTGCTGGGAAATCCTGCCTTTCGGCTTCTTGCAGTCCTGTCCTTCACTCCCTATCCCAGCCACAGTTCCAGGCAAATTGCTGCCTTCTCATCTTGGGAAGGTTCTCTCATATCAGACCACAGGTGAGGGAACTCAATGCTTTTCTGGGACTGAGGACAGAAAAACACAAAGCTGAGGCTAGAGAAGGGCTGTGCTGTAGGAGGCATAAGGACAAAGTAGAGTTTAAGGGACTGGCAGAAAAGTAGGAGAGCAGTGTCAGACAGGAAAAGATCCATCAAACCTAGAGGATGGAAAATGACATGGAAGGACAAATGACAGAGGAAAGAATCCTGGATTATATAACTTATTATAGCAAACATATTTTCAAACAGGGGAAAGCTCTTCTGGTCTAGAAGATGAAGTCAATGATTTACTGATGTTAATGGAGGGAGTACCAAGAACAAGTAAAGCTAGACTTTAGCGGCAAGGAAAGAAATCATTAAAATGGATGTAAAAATAGGAAAACATCCACTTTCAGGACATTTAAAATTCATATGTCTGGTGCATGAATTGAACCTGCAATGTACACAGTGACTGCAGTGATTTAACATGTGTCTAAAATGGTGAATGATAGAAAATTACAGCTGTGTTGATAAATTATGTTGTACTATATATATTCATAGGAAAACCTTTTTAATGATCTCTGCAGAATAAAAAGATCAGCAAAAAAACCTTAGTAACAAGTTCAAGACAGACCTGAGTTGTGCTTGTTGGTGACAACACTGGAGCAGAGACAGGTCTTGGAGCAGAGGCAGATTCTGGAGGACTTGTAGACATAGGGCACAAAGCAGGGTGTGTCTGGGGTACCAGCAACCTTGAAGCTCTGGCAGTTCCCAAAGTTCCCAGAGTACTGCAGCCCCAAGGCAGTGTGACTATCAGAGAAAACATCAGACCCTGAAAGGAAAAATTAAGATGAATTTCTAAAAACTAGCCCCCTTTTCAAAGATACAGCATGTTCTTTCAGCTAGTTCAGATCTGCTTAACATATTTTATCATATCCTGAAAATTGCAGAGTTTCTGAGTTGTCTTCGCTAATCTGAGGTAGAAATGTCTGCCTTTTGTTGAAATTACCTTTCCTATTGTGACCCTTTGAAAATATAGACAGTAAAGGCTGTAGCCCTGCTGTGATTATCTTCTAGGCAAGTCAGACTGACCATAGCAGAGGTTGTTTGGAAGCTGAAATTTCAAATGAGTGCACATTCTTTTTTTATATTGTCATTTTAGATTATTACTTTATTATCTAGTTTTGTAGACATGAGGGAGCAAATAAATGTTATGGAAAGGTCTGACACAATTGTGTGAGGAGTCTAGGTGAAAAGAAAGTGAAGTTTCCAGGCAGTGTAGTCCTTTAAAATGTTTTTCAAAGCATTTGAAATTATTGTTAACTTTTACAAGATCAGTTTTGCACTTTTCTCTCTTGAGGTTAATGTTATCAAACACAAATCAAGCCAAAAGACATTTCCTTACCATCAAATTTGCCTCCATGATGCCCTTCTGACATCTTATCTTGGTTTTGTTTTCAAGGACACACCATAGCAATTTCCCAGAAAAAGCCCAAGCCATGGATGTTGGGGTCACAGTGTTGGCAGTGGTGGCACTGCTGACTCTGGCTGATGCTCAGCTGCCGAAGCCGGCACGGGCCCCTCCGGTTCTGCACAAGCCTTTCATGGTTGTTTGGAACGCGCCGACCGAGCAGTGCAGGCTGCGCTACAAGGTGGACCTGGACCTCAGTGTTTTTGACATTGCATCCAACATCAATGAGACTCTGAGCGGATCCAATGTGACCATCTTCTATCACACCCATTTGGGATACTACCCCTACTACTCAGATAATGGAGATCCCGTTAATGGGGGGGTGCCCCAGAACGAAAGTCTTATCAAACACCTTAGCAAAGCAAAGTCTGACATTGACTATTGCATACCCATGAAGAAATTTCAGGGACTTGCAGTCATTGACTGGGAAAACTGGAGGCCCCAGTGGGATAGGAACTGGGGCAATAAAAGCATTTATAGAAACAAATCTCTCGAGATTGTTAGGAGACGGCATCCTCGGTGGCCAGAGGACAAAATTAGGAAAGTGGCTAAAGAGGAATTTGAAAATGCTGGCAGGAGTTTTATGAATAACACTATCCTTCTGGCTGAGCATATGAGACCAAATGGTTTGTGGGGTTACTATCTTTACCCAGACTGCTACAATTACGATTACAAAGAACACCCCCAAACATACACAGGGAAATGCCCACCCATTGAATCTTTCCGCAATGACCTCCTGCTTTGGTTGTGGAAGGAAAGCACTGCTCTCTACCCTTCTATATACCTGGATTATATACTGAAGTCAAGTCCAAATGCACTAAAATTTGTTCACTATCGGGTTAAAGAGGCAATACGTGTTGCCTCAATTGCTAGAAAAGACTACGTTTTGCCTGTATTTGTTTACTCCAGACCATTTTATGCCTATACTTTTCATGTTTTAACAGAGGTAAGCGGACAGACTTCTTTCAAAATGTAGAAATTAGAAATAGCCTCTTAGAAAAAATATGTTCTAAAAGCACTTACACATTTGTTTTTCATATTTAAGGCAGTCCCATGAGAGGTAGTACTGTAGTCACAGTACAAAACTCTATGCCTTTCAAGAGTTAATATTGCAGTGGTCTCGTCTACCTCTGTGAGATAACATTGTGTATTTTTAATGAAGGTAGTTTAGCAAGAAAGTACAAACAATTATATTCCTTAAGGAAGTAATTCATTGTGATATTTTTATTTTTCAGGGCAGCTTGTGAAATGAGCTGGGCAGATATTGTGAAGCTTAAAATTAATTAGTGCAATGGATAGATAAACTTTCATGAGAAAAGATCCTCAGGGCTTTTTTGTTTTTTTATGCAAAGGTAAATTAATTCAATTTAGAAATAAGCTAGTCAAGTAAAGTGATTTGTCCTGGAGTTTCTAACTCCTGCATGATGAGCATTGGCCATCTATCTCAAATTTCAGAAGTATCACATCTTCATGTCTAACATTTAGTGCTAAACTGTGGAGTCTTTTTATCAAAGAAACCCAGTTTTTGAGTCATGCAATGTCCCACCAAGCAGTGATCAAGTGTAATAAATATGTAGTGGCCACAACACTGATGGTAAATTATATATGTGAAAATCTCAGACTTTCTGGATAGGTAATGATGATTGTTTATGCCCATAATAGAGATTCACAGTCACTTATTAATTTCTCTAATAGTTACTTCAAGTGCCAAATGCTTTTCTTTGATTTCTATCAATTCCATGAGAAAGGAGAAAATCTGGGACAGGAACTCATGGAAATTACCCCTTGATAACAAAGGGCATCTGGAGGTGCTGCCTCCCTTTATTTGATGGAGAGCTGCTTGGGAGACTACTATTAATGCTGCCAGAGACAAGTTCCTGACTCAAACCAGAACAGAAAAAGGGCAAGAAGTGGCAAGGGAAAAGGCAAAGTTCAGTCCAGTAAATCATAAGCTGTGTGAGGCTTCAGCCTACAGCTGGAGCTGAGGAGGTGCAGCTGATCCCTGAGAGCCTGAGAAATGTGTCAGGCTGACCCCAAGAAGCAAATGATACTTTCAGGCTGCCACTGAGAAGTAAATTGTACATAGTAGTAATTAGAATTTAGTCTGGTTCATTTTTAGTAACCAGGAACACTCTGGAGCTGTTTTCTCTGTAGAAATTATGGGCAGATAGGCCAGTCTGGTCCTGAAGGCAAGGAGTCACTGAAGTGAGTTCAGGCAGGATGTCACCCAGAACTCCTTCACCGAAGAACTCAGGCTAGGAAATACATAAGAATTCTTGAAGTGCAGTCTGTAATAATACATTTTTATAAAATTAATTAGTCCCTTGATCAATACAAAAATACCATGTTACTGAAAGCTATGAAAACTAGCATGCTGCTACCAGTTATGTTATGAGTTCAAAATCTGTGGTGGTACATAGTTATTGTTTCACCTTAAGATATTTTCTGAGCAGTACAGTAGTAATTTGGAATGGTGCTTCTCTGAGGTTACGTTCTTTAACTCACCCACCTGTTTTCCAGTTGCATGTAGCCATTTACTTCTGGATGCTTGAAAAACTGCTTTACAACTTTACGAATATCTTTACATAGCCAGGAAAACATTTCCATTATGCTCCACTATGTATTTTCTAATAAGGACAGCATGGGCCGGGTACTCAACATGGTAGAGGGCTTAACCTGGTCAGACTACACACATCATCTGTGAGAACAGCTCGAGGTCTGACAGGAACTTACAGGGTTGTATTTAAAACCATAGAAATTATCCAGAAAATAATGGTCTTGTATTTTTTCATAGCCCTGGAGCCACTGGGATAATTTAAATGTGGTTTTGTATGTTCAGGTTTTAGACTAGGTTGGAGCTTCTCATTTGACCCATGACAAGCCCCTAAGTGATGCTCACAAAGTTACAAACAAGTCATGAAACCTCTGAGCTCCAGAAACAATGTGCATGAAGGTGACAAGGAAAGGTCCCAGGACAATGACATCCAGGCTAAATGGCCACAGAAAAATCGGGGCAGTAGGCAGATGGGATAGTTTCTTGACTTCTGGCAGGGACTGGGCCAGGACAACTACAGCCTTGCTCCATTGAGCTGTGCAAAAGCTGTGCTTTCTGTTCCAACAGAAACAGTACTGATATCCAAGACTTGTGTGCAAGCCCTTCTGTGAAATTGCACAGTGGAGTCAGAAAAAATGGTTGTGAGTCAGAGTCACTGAGGGAGAGACACAGGTCTATCAAACCTTCAGAAAGATGAAAAGCCTAGATCCCAGACAGATGCTGTAGCTGTGTATGCTGTACCTTTCACCCCAACTGCATCTGGAAATCAGGTGAGTTGTGCATAAGATGCCTGAGAAATTAATCCTGCTTTTAATCTTGGAAACAATTTATAAATTCTGGATTGGGATTCCAATCATTATGAAAGGTTTTTGTATTTGCTAGAAATTTGTATAAGCAGTTTGCCATCTGTAGGGTATTTAGAAACTTACTGATTAGGCAATTCACTACTAAGCGTGTTGGGGAGGGAAGTTGCACAGTAGCATCTGTTCTTCCTGACTAGATGGCTGAAACATTAATAAAGCAGGATGACAACTGGCAAATGATTAATAATGGATAGTAATCCTGTTGTTTCCCTAGAGATAATCTTCTCCCATGACCAAGTGTGCATGTGTATAGACACCAACCCCTGCAACCATGCCAGGCTTGAACTACTATTGCTAAATACAGAAAACTCTTGTCTGTAACTTAAGGCTCTTCAAGATTACAGATATACTTATTTTTCTTTCCTCAACATGTAACTAGAACTGACTGTCTTGTTTCATCTTGTGCTCCAAAACTACTGGTTTAGTTCACGTTCTATTCTTTTAAGGTCCAGTGCAGTGACTTGAGTGATCTAAATTCGAAGAAACATTGACAGGCAATAAAGCCTCCTCCTCCCTGCTAAATCAGGTGTCTATTTGGGGAGAGCCCAGCCTAGTCTTGAGAACCTTAGGTAGTTGCACACTGCCCCCAAAAGCTTGAACAAAAATGAGCATCACAAGGGAAGACGCTTGTTGACTTGCTAATCATTTGGACAAATAGCAGTTGCCAAAGTCTGACGCAAGAAACAAATTAGGATTCTCCAGCTAGACAAATTATAAGATATTAATATTTAAAATATCTATTTTTTGAAAATTGTGTGTTTTCTTCCATATGAGGCTTTTATTACACTCTCAAAGAAGAGCCATTCCAGTGAGCCCCCACCAATGCCAAGCTGTGCTGTGTGAGAAGAGGCACATGGTTCAGTCCCAAAATCAGGACTGCTGTGTCAGAGGCTGCTGGTGGAGTTCATGTGCCTCATTCAGTTCTTCACGGAAGGTCTTATTTATCTCTGGCCCAGGTTTGTCATTCTTGGCTATTAGGAGAGCCACAACTCTTTCCATTTCTCAAAATACCCAAATGAAGAATGAAGCCTTTATTTTCTAACCCTGTCTGTGGCAGAGGAGGAGGAAGTAGGGCGTGTTGCCTCCTTTGTATGACCATCCACTGGTCAGAGCACCTGCCTCTGGTGCAGAAGCTCTTGGCTCTGTTGTCTTCCCAACCTGCTCAGGATGAATCCAGCACCCTGGAGGGTGCAACCTCCTTCATAGGTCATTTGAGGAAGAACTCTTCTGTGTTGATAGCTTTTGAGGTACTTAGCCTGACACATTGATTCAGTAAAAGACATAACTATGCCTAGAATTGACAGTCAGAAACCTTATGTCTTTCCTTGTGGGAAGGTTACCTAATTATTAACACAAATTTATCATAAGCTGTAGTTGGGTTCCCACTTATTTCTCTTTCTCTCCTTTGAGCGTTCATTGAGTTGGTGCAAATCAAAATGGCATCAGACAGAGATGTCATCTGAAACCTCATGATGAAGGTGAGCCTCTCTGGATGATTATCTGGATATTATATATCTGACCAGCTCTTTCTATTTCTCTCCTTCTGGGAAGGACTCTTAGCACCTGATCTTTGTTCCAAAGAATTCAAAACCAGGAAATATAAGGTGTAACAAAAGCATTTAAATGAAGTCCTATACAATATTTTTGTGGTGAACTGCTGTTTTCACCAGCATCTAGCACATGTGCAGATGCTGTAAGAGTCCTTTAAGAATGTCTAGGAAAACATACCTTCCAATAAAATGCCAAATTTTGCCTTAGCCAAAGATAAATGATGAATTTCTCAGTGTTGTGAAGGTGGTAATACTAGATTGCAGGAAAGTGGAAGAGCAGGTGCCTCAGGGACTTAGGTGTGGAATTATCAGTGCCATTGGACTTCACACATCTAGAGGCCTGGATAAACTTTAAGGATTTGTTTTGTCAGTTTTATATCCATGTGAATTGGACATGAAGTGCTGTAATATTTTCGTTAATCTGATAAAACTAACAAAATAAATATGTGGAATATGGGGCTGTAAAACCTAGATTCACTGACTTCTGGTAAAGCAGTGTAATTCCCAAAGCATATTACTTACAAAATATTTATTTCAGGGTTTTCTCAGGTCCTAGTTCATCCAGCAATCCTCAATATTTATTGATTATTTATTCTGGAGGTCTGATAAGTTTTAATTCATTTTTTAATGAGATTTTTAATGAGATCTGAAATGTGTTAGTGCAAAATCATTCAACTGTAATGTGAGTAATGTAGAATCACATCCAGTCTTTGCATCTGGGTAAACTTCATAAAATGTTTTGCAGATGATGAAGGCCTGGGAATCCTCATTACTAACACATGACAGTGAATTTCACATTCTTTTAACATTTGATATTTTGATCTTTAATTAGCACAATCCTTTTTTTTTTTTTTTTAACTGATTAATTAATTAATTCCCTTAGGAAATACCCTAATCCTCCTGAACCCCCTTGAAAATAACACCTTCAGTCCACACCACTATCCTTTAAAAAGAAGCGATGCCCATATCCCAGTGCTTTTTTAACTTTCACTTTTGTCTTTTTTTACTTTTACTTATATTTGTTTTTCTCATGTGTGGATTTGGCTTTCTTTTTCAGAGGGATCTGGTCAATACCATTGGGGAAAGCGCGGCTTTGGGAGCAGCTGGAGTTGTTCTCTGGGGCAGTATGCAGTATGCCAGCTCAAAGGTCGGTCAGATCAATTTGCCAGTTCTTAGGAATCACCTCAATATCTCTTGTCTGGCACCACACCCACACCCTCCATAGCACCTATCTACCTTTATCAGTGCCAACATCAGATCTATCAGATCAGCCAACAACTGAGGATGATGGTTCAATAATAATTTCAGGTGTCATTAATTCTGTTAGGCTGAAAAGTCCTGTGCTCCACAGCACATTGCTTTGGGTACGTAATTTGTAGCTCAGTGGAATAATGAGTTCAGGTGAGAAGAAAGACATGTTTCAAAACAATGCCATGCAAATATAAGCACAGCTAGTTTTACAGTGTCCTACTTTGTAACTACTGCAGTTGTCCAGATCGACTGGGAAGGAATGGAGCCTGGAGGTGAGGAATTTTCTCCAGTTGCTAATGTTGAAATGTTACAGGGAAAATAATGTCACAAGACAAGCCCTAGTTATTTCTCCCAGGTTCTTCAGACTTTCAGAAATAAACCTTCTTGAGGAGATGGGAGGCAGAACTGGAGTTTCCCAGGAGGCATGGCAGGATAGCCCCCATTCCTAAACCTGGGCCTTGGCACCCACTCTGCTTTTCATGCAGTCTGCTGTCCAACTCCTCAAGTCTCTGGCAAAGCATCACTGACTTGGTCAGAGGAATCAGGAAATCTGAACTGGAACTTTCAAGTTGCAATTGCAGCAACTTTTGTGCTGGTTTATGAATATTATGTGGCTCCTGGTAAACTGAAGGTATTGGAGTGATCAGGGCCAGAGTGGTGACTTAATTCGTGCATTAACACCTGTTAGTCCCATACATTTCTCCTAGTCAGCAGTTACCAGAAATCTCTACTTAAGGGACCAGTTAGTCTCAGATATGAACCATATTAACTCTCTTTCTGCTTCCTGGGAATCCTTCCTAGTCTCACACTAATGTTCCAACCAGGCATTCAAATAGAAACCATAGTAGATGTCAATAGTTTTCTAACCTTACACATGAAAATAAACTCATTTAAACCAAACTCAATAGATCCTTCAAGTATGCAAGCCAAACAAGATTTATCTCAATGGATTACTTTAGGCAAGAACAGTTTAGTAATAGCATCTTTTCAGACATAATAAACTTGAACATAACACTAGATACTGAGAAATGTGTTGTGATCTTTTATTTTTCGCAGGAGAGCTGCTTAACGGTGAAGCAGTACATCGACGGGCCTTTGGGACACTACGTCATTAATGTGACCTCAGCAGCCAAGCTCTGCAGCAAAGTCCTGTGCAAGAAGAATGGAAGATGCATCCGCAAAAACAGCGACTCTTCTGCTTACCTCCACTTGTCACCCAGTGATTTTAAGATCCACGACCGTCGTTCAGAGAGGGGCCCCAGGTTCCAGGTGACTGGTAAACCCAGCCTGGAGAGTATTGAAGCCATGAAGCAGAGGTTTATTTGTCAGTGTTACCAGGGCTGGACAGGAATATTTTGTGAATTGCCAGACCAAAAGCTATTGAAACACTGGGTTCATGTCGTGTTTAGTAGATCAAGAAAACAAAGCCTTTTTATCTTCCTCTTAGGAGCCATGCAGCTTCTTCTGTTTTGTTCTGTACATTAAGGTCTTCTAAGGCAGTGCAGGGGAATAAAAATGGTGCCTCTACGAGTTCTGTTTCTTAAAAAAATATTGTAGAGGGAAAAGACTTTCTTGATTACATTATTTTATTCTGTTTTAGTAATTTTCCACTCCTGGAACTTTCTAAGACATTAAAAATTTCGAAAGCACTTTTTTACCAGCTCCTTTACTCCTACCCTGTGTTTCCCTCATGTGTTCAACACATAAAGATTCTGTTGTTGCAGTGGTAGTTTTACCTGAGGAAAAAAGTTGAATGAACTTGTAGAATTATTCAACCATGTAGAAATTCAAAAAGAAGAACACAAAACCTCTTTATTTTGGGAGTGGGTGATTTAACATAGTGATGAGGAGAGTGTTGTGGATCAGGGATTAGGAACTGTTCTCTGCAGCTCTTGCTGAAATCAAGTGGTACATTGTGTGAGCAACTGCACTATTCCCAGAGCCAAATCCATTGATCCTACTGCTTCTATATAAGCAATGTGAAGAGTATAGAGTTAGACATCAGCACACATTTTTAAAAGTTTATACTTCCGTATTCTGAGGCCTAATTTGATTAATGTTACTTCCAGAGATATTGGTATTTCCAGTACTAGTGTTCTGTCATCAGTTTCAAAGATACTGTCTGACTGAACATCTCTGCAGTTACTTTTAGGTGAGGGGATTCTGAACTCTAAGAGCAGCACTGGCAGCTGGCACCCAGCAGCGCTTCTGCCTGGGCAGGAAGTAGGGAAGCACTTCTTTGCTCACCACAACCCCTTGGGAAGGAGGCATCCTTGCTGCCTTTGGAGCTGCTGCAGGTCTTTTTCTTCTGCTGCCTGGTCAGTGAGGTGGAAGTGAGAACAGGCTGACAGATCCTACTGTCAGTGTGCAGGTCAGGAGAAAATTAAGAACTCTATTCATTAAAATATTTTGGCTTGCAGCCTTTGGCTTCAGATGGGGACCTCTCTGAAGGTGGTATAGCTTAATGAACTACTGACTACTGGTTAATTTAGCATCTATAACACGCTGTTCTGATGGGCTGTGCTATGTCCATTTGCAGTTATTCATTGATTCATGTTCATGTGTGAACAAATGTATTCCATCAAAGACCCATCTGTCTTCCATGTAGCCTTTCAATGTAAAAAACAATGGATACCTTCACTGAATTGAAGACAAGACCAAGAAATTTCCTACACCATTCTGACTTACTAAAATAATTTAATTTGAGATTTTTCTTTGATGTGTTGGACTGAGTATTGTTCCAGATCATGGACACAAACATTAATAAGAAACCCGCATGTGGGTCTAAGACTTCTTTTTTGCCCTTACAAGTGTCTGTATTGATCATCTATGGCCTGACTACATTGCTCACATTACACAGTACCCTATTCCCATAGCAGTTTGATTAAAATCAGCAAGGCTATATGGAGAAGATACTCAACTGTGTAAGGAAATCTGAATCATGTCTCTATGAATTATCTGCTGTATTCTCTGTAATCTCCTTATCTCTGAACATTTCTTCATGGTAACTACATAGCAAAATCTGTCTTTGCTTTGCCCAGACCTGATTCATGGCTGGTGTGAAAGGTGATGCTCAGATTCCCCTGATCAAGGATCCAGCTCATTACAGAACTGCTGTGGATGTTAAGGCTGCCTTTAAACCTAGACACTGAAACTGAACAGACTTCAGTTGAGACTGAGTGACTTGGGGCCTCCAGTGTGTCATTGTAATGTCATGTGCTGAGAAGCTCCAGGAGAGCTTTGCCACTGACCTTTTGCTTTGTAATGTGTAACAGCAATGGATGACAGCAAAAGTAAAGGTAAAAAATTTCATTGTTTTGGTGGTGGAGAGGAAGGATTAAAATTGAAGTTTAGAAAAACTAACAGCTATTAAGAACTAAGACTTTAAATTGAAGTTATTGTGTTTACCTTATAAAATATTTATATCTATGTCTATAGATATATTTTGCTTTAGCTTCTTTATTCAGTTCAGATGTTGTTAAACTTCAAGGGAACTTACACCTACTTTAGTATCTTGAAAGCATAGAAACTGTTAGCTAGTTTTGCTAAATACCTGTCACCAATGTTGGTCTGTATTAAACTGGATGCTCCTGGTTTATCTAATGCTGTCCTGTAGAGCTGCAGTGAAAATGTTGTAATGCTTATGCACTGTGTCAGTGAAATGTGTTCATAAAATGTTCTGTGTCACTTCATAATGGGTTTCCATTATTTCTGTATGCTTATAAGAATAAATGATGTTCAGACTTAAACAGACGATTTATTTGGGTAGCATAAATTCAATTAAACTGATAGAAAGTCTTCATCAGCTAAAGTTCTGGTAATTTATGGGAAATTTATGCAAACTAAGCAAATGCTGTGGGTAAAATGTCCGTGTTCATGATTCTGTCTGTGGTGTATATCCTGTATGAGGAAATGCTGGTTGAGACCTGTACAAGTACATAAGGTTCTGTCAGTTTATGTCAGGTCTGCATTTGTCCAGTGGTTCTTCTTTAGCCTAGGGTACAATTTCACCCTGTGTGAGTGTCTGTGGTAGTACATCTATCTGGATACAAAGGCTTTTGAATTTGGGTCATGTATTTCTGTGAATAACTCTGAGCCTAGTTCTGCATCTGCATCACATGGGTTGTCTTAGGTAGAAGACCAAAATCAGAATTTGGTCTAGGCTTCTTAATAATTATTAAAGGAATCAAATATCTAAGTGAATGTAATTTTACAATTTCTTTTCTATTTCACCTAGTCAGAGCTCTTTTTTTTGTGAAGAAAAAACATTTACCATGCAACAATGTCCCTGGAAGAGGTGGAGTTGGAGGTAGTTCTGCTGCTGACTGAGGACAGGTAGAAGTTGCACATATGAGTGTAAGGTATCTCATGTCTTGAGTGCTCCCATGTGGACCACCAACTACACCAGCCAGTACCAAAGTTTGGATGTATTTGATTCCTTAGCTCCACAAATGGGTCACCTTCCAGGACAGGGTGACTATGTGGTGCTGCATTAGTGCCCTTTACCAGGGAGAATCACGGGTGGGCTCATGCCAGGTTGGCTGGAAACTGATGCTAGGCAGGTCCACAGACCATGCACCATATAGAGAAACATCAAATATAGTCAAAACCTTGGTAACAAGTAAAATTTTTTTCCCTCAGTTACCCATAAATTAATACTACTCTTACAATTAAACTATGAACGAATTGGTTCACTTAATACAGGTTGTATGGCTCAGTCTTTGGAGAGACATGATCCAGCTTGTATATGTAGTACAACTATTGGAGAAGGGAGAGTTTGAAGTAGCAGAGAACACTCACCATGATGTTCTTAGCTGGAACCAGTTCTTAAACAATAGTGGATCCTGAGAAATAGATATTGATTTCCAGAGCCAACAGAAATAGGAGTTTGATTTATCTGAACCATTTCTGCTACAAGATGATAATAGACTCAGACCCCAGTTCTTCCCAAATGCTGAGCTGTAGACTCCTTTAATTAGCTGAGGATAAGCAATACCAACGCACTGACAGGATTTCAGCTTTTATCAAGTTTTCTGATTTAGCAATCTTAGCAAAAACTTTGAAATTTGGGGAAACATGCTCATTTTCTATTTCCCTCTCACCACAGCTGGGTGTTGCACTTAATAAAATTTATATTTTGAGCAACTCATAAAAAATAGAAAGCATTGGACTAATTATGTTTCACTTCAGTCTGACTGGTAAATGTGTGGGATTGTGGTTTCAACTTGACCAGTTTTAGGTGCCATTGGTATCTTCTTTCCACTCCCAAACTTTCCTCTCACTCCCATCCATCCATCCATCCATCCATCCATCCATCCATCCATCCATCCATCCATCCATCCAGGATGGTGTGCTCTTCCCTGCTTGTGATGGCACAGCTTCTCAGGGACCCTTGACCTGATCTGGATTGAGAAACACTCCAGGTCAAATGTTCCCTTGTTAAAATACAGATGCCTTCCCACAATGCTTTTTTTCCTGAAAGTAACATGAATTCCTCTATCTCACTCACACGGTTCTGCCTATAATGTTGAGCCAGGGCTAAGGAAGTGGACAAAACCCACAAGGAAGTGGTAACAAAGCCATAAGCTGAGTATTGTCACCCAAGACAATAAATTGTGAGTAAGCAGCCATGGTGTGCAGTTGGCAGCCTCTGTCACGGCTCCCCAGCTCAGCCCCGGCTGTGTGTGGCAGGGGAAGGGCAGTGCCTGGCAGCCTTCGTGGGGACAGCAGGCAGCACATCCATCCAAGGATGGGGACACTGCTGTGTCAGGGCACTGCTGGACTCCCCCAAAACTGAGGGCTCCTTGCAGTGATCAGCCCAGACCTTGGTGCCTCACAGGATGCCAAGGTCAGGATAACTAGAACTCTCCTGGCATGGCCCAGCTCAGGAACATGGATACTTAACGTGTTTTCTGAAGTACCCTTTAACCCCTGAGTCTTAAGGTTGAAAAAAGGTGACAAAGGCTTCCTGGCTGAACATAATCATGTAGCTTTTTTGTGTTTCATCAGCTTTTTCCAAATGCAGTGCTCTCGGCTAGGGTCAGTGGCTTTGTAAAAATGGGAATGATAGGATTGTTCAGAAAGGAGCTAACAGCCCTCACCAACGAAACCAACAGAATGAAATCTCAGACCTGTTGGGACTGGTAATGCTGCATGTAAATACTTTTTGTATACAAATCTTCTTTTAAAATTCCTTGCTAAGGTTAAAAAGATGTTGTTTAAACTAAAAATTATATCAATTTTGTACTGAAACCATTTGTTGTAGATAGTGAATTAAATTTGCATATCATGCACAATAAGGGTCCATATGAAAGTTTTTTTGCCAAAGAAAATGTGATGCTTAAAATGCTGTGGCAGACACAACTTCTTTTTTCTTTACCTTTCAGAAAAATAAATTTCCTGTCAATCTGTGATAGACTCAGAAGGTGGGGGTGTTTGCAAACATGGATTACTCTAAAAAAAGTTGGAAATGATACACTTTGAAGAACCATACTGACTGGGAGCAGTGCAGCAGTGCAGCTTCTCAGATACAAAAGTTCTATTCTTCTAAAAGCCTAAGGAAAAACAATGCTGTGGCATATTGCTTGATGAATTTAAAGCCCCTGAGATGTTCTCACTCAGCCAAGGCACCTTGTGCCTTCCAAATACCATAGCATGAGGCAGCAAGGAGCAGCTAGAGGTCCCATTAGGAAAAAGGGGAGAATTCCATCGATGGATTTCCAAATTAAGTTTGATTTAACTTTGAGAGTTAACTTTTCTGCTTCTAATAGTTACCACATATCAGATTATCCCCTGTTGAATGTCAACAGAGTAAATCCACGGAGGCATTTTTCTGATTCAAGGAATACCTTGTTTAAGCTGTAATAAGAAAACAAGGGGAAATGTGAATATGTGTTCATATCCATATATATCTACATGCACATGTAAATGAGACTATGCATCCTGTACTGCATGTGTCTGTGAGTTTGACTGAGAAGCAGTAGAACAGTTCTGAGGGGTGTGAGACTCTTTTCTGCCCAGCAGGAGCAAGCTTGGAGCATTTGCATAACGTTATAGCCCGGCATGCATGGCCTGTGCTGCTGCACGGATTATGTCTATTATGTCTATTATGTAACCCCTTTTACACAGGAAGCTAACAGCATCTAACAAGATAAAAATAAGCAGACTTCTATAATTTCAAGCAACAGTATTTTAAACTTCACTTATTTGGCTGCTTCTGTTTCAACATTAAATTTGGCCTCTTCAAGAATT